AAAAACCACAAGTATCCAGAACTAATTGTGTCGAGCAATTGAGTGAGACTTGCTCATGAAAACTAATTATGTGTATTTCTTCCTAACTCTAAATTCACTGATATGCCAACTTGATAACAGCCACAATTATACCAGGAATTATACCACAGGAAAAAAAAATGACAAATAATAGAAATTCTGGCTTTATTTCTCTCAGAAAGCTGGCTGGTAACATTTTCCAATGTATTACTAGGTTGGAAGCCATCAATAACAGTGAATAATATGAAATACTAGATACAAAGGGCCCAGAAGAATCAGTTCTTGTCTTAGATATTTGAATGTTTACCTTAAAAGAAAGAGAAAGGCACTGATTGGATTTTAGTAGTCATGTAACATTATTGATTTACTTTTTGAAAATATCACACTAGCTGCAGTAGAAATAATAAATTAGAAAGGAGAAACTAATACTTACAGAAACATCAGGTGAGATGAAGAATAGTACCTTAAATTAGGCTGATGACAATAAAGTACAAGTGAGCAGATATAATTGCTACTTAGAGGGAACCTAGACTGAAATTGCAATATATTACATAAGCAGGTGAAGTAATGAATACTTTCCTCCAAGTTTGATGGATGGCAGTGTTATAGAATGACTAAAGAATGCCAGAAGGTGACCAATTTAGTTTAAATAGAAGATCATCAATTTGTTTGATGCACTGCACGTGAGGTACATTTGAATTACTCCAGTGTTGTTGAGTAGGTTGTGATTTGATTTGTCATACTTTGGTAATCTTAAGGCAGACACACAATCCCCAGAGGTTCTAGCAATAGAGATATTGTCAATTTTCTGAATCTTCTATTTCCCAGAAATCATATAATCTTTCCCAAGAATTTTGATAGTTGGAAAGGAAATCAATTATTAAAATAGTATTTTGTAAAACACATTCAGAGGAAAGGAGTAAGAAGGTAAGTTAGCTTTTATAATCAAGGCCATATGCCCATCTAAATAGCAGAATTTTAATTACCATAAGTAAGAAGAGTTCTCTGGATGTTGAGTGAGAGCTATCAGATACCTGAAGGGGTATTGTATTTAAACTTGATCAAAGTTTAATTTAATTAAAGCCTTAGAATCTGCTTTAAAGCTTAAAATATTGAGACTTAAGAAATGAGAAATACTAACATTCTTTCTTGGAAAATGGCTTCATAAATGTTGATAAATGTTTGCCCATCTACTCTTTGTTTCCAAGGGTGAATACAATATTACTCTCTTCTGTATAACAGTACAGAAAAAAAATCACACGTGCGGCAAGCCATTTTAAATCACTTCCATCCCATTACCCTTTTTTTAAGGGCACAGTATGAGATCCTTCTATTAAATTATAATAATGCCCTGGGCTATCCTATTTGATTTGGGAGCTAATGAGTTTCCATCAAAATTTGGCTTATAAATCTTCTCTAGAATACATAACTTGTGGAAAACAGTACCAACTGACATTTGAATTGTATTTTATATCTGATTTATTTGATTCTTGGTACTCATAGCTGTGTTACTACATTCAATGAAGTTTAGAAAATAAGACCTAAGAGAAAATATTTGCCCAAATTTTGAATGCCCACTTAGTGAATTTAGATTTGCGTTGCTCTTTAATATGTGAAAACTAACAAAACATGTGTAATTTAAATTAATTATATTACTTTCTCCAATTTCAAAGTTAGATGCTAATTATGTTGTGTATCTTCAAAGTCTTGAGATAGTTAACTCATGGATAGAAAAGTAGGGACAGATTCTGATAATGTTCAATTTAAGAATGAACTTCTTATTTAATCCTTAGCTAAAGGGAAGCAATTCATATTAGTAATAAAGAAATAAAAATAAAATCAGTATTTTAGGAGGCAAGCTGTCATAAAGGGTATAGACAATTTTTGGTGTGCATAGAGATTATTTTTCAAATAGTGGTGGTATAAATAAAAATAAAGTGAATAGTTGATCATCATGTAAAGAAATGAAGGGATTAATGAATACCCATATTGCTACAGTAAGTATTTGGATGAAATAAAGTATAATATGGAAGTTGAATATATCTAGAATGACAGAATAAAAACTTCTCAGCACGCCCCACCCCCACCAATAAAAACAACAAAACTACAGGAGATATTTTGTCCAAAATAAACATTTTCAGAATTCTGGAAGTTAAAGGATCTAAAAATATAAACATTTATTTAAGAAAAATGGCTAGGTTAAAACCTACTAGCTCGATAGATTTTTAATTTCCCCAATCTCATTTCTAGTGTTACTAAAACCCCCAAGAATTTAAAGATAAATTAGAATTAATCTAGTAACTTTTTAAATTAGTTACTAATTTTTAAATTATTAAAAACAATTCAATTAATTTTGAATAACCATGTTCTATCAAACTCATTAAATGCACTGTAGTAGATGAGACATCCAGGAGTCTAGAATCTATAGGACACAGCAGAGGGGTCTAATGTTCTCCTAAAAATCTGATCTCTAGAGATTTATCAATATTGTATTTGCCTTGTAGCTTACCAAAAGATCTAATGTCAAGGCTTCTATTAATTTGACCTCTTTCAGAGTTAGCTCTCTCTCTAGGAACTACAATCAGAAAATTTGTTGAAAACAATCAGAAACAATTATTTAATATTACAGCTACTGTAGCTATTCTTATCATTTTGGTTTAACAAGAGGCTACCACTCAAAAAAATGAAAAATGAGAAAGTGGGGAATGGATGTCCATAAGTACTTTACAAAGCTTCAATGTATTTTTGGAAATTTGGAATGATAAATATAGTATAGGACTCTGTGCATGACTAGAAATGATTCAGGAAAATACTAATCTCTCATTTCAGACAAACTTAGGGCCCTGAGAAAAATAACAAGAATAAGGCAGAGTTGTAAACTACCAGCTGAAAGGTAAAAAATGTACTTAAAAAGAGAAATCCTTTAAAAGGATGTGGGCTGTGACACAATTGCAAAAAACACCTTTTTTTTTCAGTAATGATAATCACAATAGATCATGTTAGGCAAGAAAAAAAGTTTTAAAAAATTAAGATTGAAATCATATCAAATATTTTTGTGACCAAATAATATGAAACTAAAAATTAATTAAGAGGAGGAAGTCGCAATTCATACAGAATTTAAACATGTTTCAGAACAATCACTGGGTCAATGAAGAAATTAGAAGGAAAACTTCTTGAGACATAAAAAAATAAACATACAACATATTAAAATTCTTGGAACACAGCAAAAGGAAATATAAGACATTATTTACAACAGTAAATTAAAACAGGTTGTATAACTGATAAATAAAGAAATATAAAAGTAAAAATAAAACTATTATGAAAAAGTATGCCAAGAAACAAAACAACCTAGAATAAATTAATAGTCATTAACACTTGCAACCTAACAAAAGTGCATTTTAAAGAAATAGAAAATCTGAATACACCAATAATGAGGATATTTAATAAGTAATAAAATATCTCTCACAAAATAAAAGCCTTGAATCTATTGATTTCTCTATTGAATATTTTAAAATATTTAAATATTTGGTACTAATTCATATCAAACTCTTCCAAAAGTTTAAAAGGGAAGAATAACTTCTATTCTCATTTTATGAGGTGAGTATTATCCTAATCAAAAAGTTAGACAATAATAACACATAAAAGAAAATTACAGGTCAATATCCGTGAGGAACAGGGGTAAAAAAAAATTAACAAAATACTAGCAAAACTGACTTCAACAGTAGATTAATGAGATCATTCATATTGGTGACATGAGATTCAACTATGGTATACAAAGATCTTTAAAGATACAAAAATCAATAAATGCGATATACCATATGAACAAAATGAAGAACAAAATTGGCCAACTCAATTGATTAATAAAAGGAAATTGAAAAAAATAACATATTTTTATAATAAACCTATCAACAAATTTACTATAAACCCACAGCTAATATTATACTTAACAGGAGAGTTGAAAACTCTTTCCTCTAAGATCTGAGACAAGTTTGTCCACTCACCACTGCTATTGAACATAGAATTGGTGCTCTTAGCCAGAGTGATGATGAAAGAGAAAAAAATAATAATTAGCATCCAAAGAATATGCTTGCTAAGTTATCTTGACCCTATTTACAGACAGCATATTATAAATGGGAAACCCTAAATATTTTACCCAAAATGATTAGAAATAACAAATTCAGTTAAGTTTTGGGATACAAAAATCAACATACATAGATCAGCAGCATTTCTGTATACTAACAGCAAACAATCTGAAAAATAAATCAGTAAAATGATTTTATTTACAATGACTACAAAAATGTAAAATACTTAAGAATAAATTCAAAGAGGTAAAAGACTTCTACTCTGAAAACTGTGAAGTGTTGCTAAAAGCTATTGAAGAAGACAAAAATAGATGGAAAAATACCTAGTGTTCATGGACTGAAAGAATTAATGTTGTTAAAATCTCTAATACACTCTAAGGTGATCTACAAATTCAATGTAATCCCTATCAAATTCCTAATGCCATTCCTTAGAGGTAGAAAAACAGTCTTAAAATTTTTATTAAAAAAAAAATACCCCTAAAAACAATCTTGAACAAAACTAACAGCTGGAAACATCACATTACCTGACTTCAGAGCACCAATTCTACATTCAATAGAATGCTCGGTAACCAAAACAACACAATATTGTCATAAAAACAGAAGTAAAGATCATTGGAATGAAATAGAGTGCCCAGAATGAAGTCTACACAGAAGAAAGAATTAACTGATTTTTTTTTTTTTTAAGGAGTGACAAGAACACATGATGGGAAAAACGGAGAGTCTTATCAATAATGGTAGTACATCTGCATAGTAACATGGAGAAGAACAAAATTAGACCAACTCATACCCTGTACAAAATCAACTAAAATGTATTAAAGATTTAATTGTAAGAACTGAAAGTATGAAACTATTGAAAGTAAAGAGAGAAAAAGCTCTATGACATTGTTCTGAGTCATAATGGGTTTTGGATATGGATCCAAAGGCACAGGCAACAAATGAAAAAAGAGACAAATGGCATTGGGTTTAACTAAGAAGCTTCTGCACAGCAATGAAAACAACCAACAGAGTGAAGAAATGATCTACAGATTGGTAGAAAATATTTACAGGCTATAAACCTGGTAAGGGGTTAGTATGCCAAATATACAATATTCAAAACACTTAATTGTGAGAACAAATAACCTGATTTTTTAAAGTGGGAAAGATATATAAATAGATATTTTTAAAAAGCCATATGAATCATTAACAGGTAACCCATTTATTCTGAAGTGAATATTAATAATTCACTACATGCTCCATTATATTCACTTATATTTATATAAGCACAATATCTCTAATCATTAGGGGAACCCAGATTAAAACCACAATGAGATATTACCTCACACTTGTCAGGATGGCTAATATTAAAAGGTTAATGATAGGGAATGGTAGCAAGAATGTGAAAAAAAAGGGAACCTTTGTACACTTCTGGTAGAGCATAAATAGGTACAATTTTAGAAAATCACATGGAGAATCCTCAGAAAACACAAAAAAGTATCATCTAATCTAATAGTACCACTACTGGTTATGTATCCAACACAAACTAAATAAATATATCAAAGAGCTAACTGCAATTTTACATTTATTTCAGCATTATTCATAATATCCAAATATCACATCAACCTAAGTGTTTATTAATAAATGAAGAAATGTGCTATAACATATACACAGCCGAATACCATTCAACCATTTCAAAAACAAATAGAACTCTACAATTTCTTATAACACTGACGAACTTGGAGGACTTTATGTTTAAAGTGAAATAATCCAGGCACAGACAAATAAATATTACATGATTTCACTTATATATAAATACATAAACATGGATATCACAGAAGTAGAGAGTAGAAAGGTAGTTATCAAAGGCTGGGATATATAGTTAGGGAAGTTGAAGAGATACTGATCAAACAGTATAAAATTTTAGTTAGATAGGAAGAATAATTTCACAAAATTTATTGGACAATATGGTGACTACAATTAACAATATGTTGAATTAAAATGTTTAGTAAGTTTAAAGTGTTCTCATCACAAAAATGATAAATATGTGAGGTAATGCCTATGATAATTAACTAAATGCAGTCATTATGCACCATACACATACAACATGTGGCACATGATAAATACATACAATTCTGTCAATTTAAAAATAAGTAAATAATCTTCATGAATGTTACTGATTGCTATAATTAAATAAGCCAAACATCTATCTGTCAGTCACTGAAATAAAGAGCCAAGATATTCTATGTTCATTCACTTCATGCATATAAATATAGGAAAGATGATTCATTAAGATGAAATGTGGGAAAGAACTAAAGAAAAACTGTCTATTTGGGGAGCCTTAATGAGTAGACCAACAAACATTTTTTTTTTTTACAATTTTCATGTTTGTTCTATATAATGTCTGAATATTTTGATCTCTGAATACATGCACATTTTTAGCAGACTACATGTTGTACATACTGAGATCAAAGTAGACTAGGGTAACCCATTTATTCTGAAATGAATATTAATAATTCACTACATGCACCATTATATTCACTTAAGTTAATCATTATGATATAATCATGGGCATTGCCATTTAATTCATTTTTTCAAAGAGCAAGCTTTTATTAGTACATCACTCCTGCTCCTCATGAATGAGCCTCTGCAGAGCTGTTGGATTGCCATTTATGTATTACTGACATTGCTATTAGGAGGATATTGCTGTATGTATCTGCACTGTAAATTCTCCATGATCAGTACCAAATGATGCTCTTATTTAATTATCTTACATAGTACAATGAGTTATGTTAGACTGATTTAATAATTTCTAAATTTACCATGTGAAGAGAGCATGGATTAATTAATATGATTCTATTCAATCCTATTTTTGTTCTATTTCCATGAGCTATTTCTTTTACTCCTCATGAATTGTTTAAATAACAGTCCATAGAAAACTATTGTGAGGAATAAAAAATATATACCCAAAAGGCTTTTACTGAGGAAAAAAATTTCTAAAATATTTTATTGAGAGAAACTGTCAAACAAAATACACAATAAACTTACATTTATTTACAAGTAATAAGAGAAGTTCACTTTTTTTCCTATTTCTCAATAGTAATGCTATCTTGGCACATACCTGCATCATTGATTTTTATCCCCTTTTCTATTGACTTACAGCTTCAAGGTTCAGTTCACTGATAGGAAAAGACACAGGTATGTTCTGCCTTCTGATATGAAGAAGTAGATTTCAGTTTATTGGTTAACAATTAAAGTGCAATTCTTGTTTATAATAATTGGCAAATATTAAGATATAGTTATATATTTTGGAATCTGAGCTTATGTGTGTTTTTAAAAATAAATCTAGGTTCAATATTTTTTATTAGCCTGATTTGAATTTTATACAGAATTTATTCACATAATAGCTGATTATATAAAATACAATAAAAATAGATATTATGCTAGAAATAAGGAGAATATTAGAAATTTGAGTTTCTATCACAAAACAATGTGTCCCCTACATATTCTGACAAACTCCTTTGAGACAGCATCTCAATACTGTTTTACTTTTAGTAAGTTTCCTCGGTCCATTAGGTTGCATCCAATTTTCTTGGTCTTCTGTTAAGAGAATTTTGCTCTGTCCACCTTCAAGGTTGTCTGGTTTTTATTTGATCCTACTCAGAGTTTAGTATAACTATCTTTGAATAAAAATGGGCAACATTTTATGATCAGTGTAGCAATTGATAAGAAGTGTATGTCACAATTTTACTTCATGTATAAATATTCAAAGTGGTAGAAATATGGAAATTTTATTAAAATATCAATAAACTGTCTTACATAAATGTATATTTTATATAAAGACTCTTTTGTGTCATTTTATCAAAACTAGAGTTCAGGGAGTAATTTTAAAATAATTTTTTTTCTAAATTTTATTGATTTTAGCAGATGTAAGAATTGTTTATGCTATCCTTTCCAGAGTTATTTATTTAGATATATTTACTTTCATTTAAATAGATATATTTTAAACAATCCTTGAGTTTTCTGTGCAATTATATTTAATATCCTTACTTTATATAAGACATTTACAAAAGCGTCTGCATCTCAAAAATTTCAATCATATTATTATATTGTAGGAAAATACATAATATTTTAGATTATAGGAATGAAGATCTTGCTCATTTATTCTGTGTCCGTGCTCACTTTCTCCCTCCCCAACCTCCTCCCTCCCTTTATTTTCTTCCATCCTTTCTTCCTTCTTTCCTAGTTCCTTTCTTCATTTTTTTTCATGGTGGAAAAAAACGTTTTATAAGACATACATGGCAAAAAGTTTCAGTGCATAACAGTGTAGTTAACTGAGGGCACGGCATTATACAGCAGATCCTTAGAACTTACTTGTGTTACTGGGACTTTATATACTCTGAACTACTGCTCCTTATTTTCCCCTCCCCCAGTGCTTAGCAAGCACCATTCTACTCTTTTTTTCTATGATTACTTTAGATACCACATAAAAGTAGAATCATGCAATATTTTCCTGTCTGTGACTGACTTCTTTCACTCATGATGTTGTGACTTATTATCATTTTTTTTTACTTTACTTTGGTACAAAAGAGATGCACATAAAGTGAAAATTTGCTTTAAATTTTGAATTATCTTCCTCTTTTACTGGGCTTGAGATTTACAGTATGATACTGTAATGAGGCTAGGCAGTGGTATAGCTCTTCATTAGCTACATGATTTCAAGGATAAACCATTGCACAGTGTACTGTGTTGCTATGTTACGGTGTTTGGTAGGTTTAAATGCGTCTTAACCCACATTTAAGTTATAATGTTTTCAATTTATGATGGATTTATCAGGGCATAATTACATCTTAATAGAGAAGCATCTGTAATAAATGCAAGGGATGCTACTGAACATGTTATAATACACGTAACTGCCCACCCCCACCCTCAACACGCATACAGAACAAAGCAATATCCAGTCCCAAAATTAAATGCTGATAGTTCTGAGATTAAGCAATCTTATTTAATGGAAAGAATTGTAAAACGATACACAGAAGACCAAAATACATATATTTTCACAGAAACATGATTAATTTAGACTGAAATGGAGATATGACTACAAAACAAACTGAGAATTTGAACTCCCAAAATTCTAAGGGGCAGAAGCAAGTGAGAAAATTACTCATTTGCAAACACATGCTGTCTTTTATGAAAAATGGAAGAGTGAATCAAAGAGTGAAACTAAGAGCTCAGAAGAAGGCAGAATCAAGAATCAGAGACTTAATTCACTTAAGACCTAATTATAGAAATTCCAATATTGACTCCACTGAATTTTAAAATTGTGATGGATCTGTGATTCCTTTGTGCATCTCATTTTCTCCTATAATGAACAGAAACGTTAATGTGAACTATCTTATTCCTGCCCATTCTTAGTATGTTGGATGTGGGAGTTAGATAACTTGTCTCAAATTCTTATTAAGAGAGAATATCTGTATATCTGTACCTTTGGGAATTCACCTAAGAAAACTTTTCTGAACCAGGAGCTAATTTAGATGACCAGGTTCTGAATTTTCAGCATAACTATAATGGAGGCTTTGGAGATTTTGGACACTCTGGAGCAGAATGAGTTTATTATACCTAGGGTTTCATATAGAAAATTAAAGAGCAGAAGGTGGACTGCAGCAGCTGAGCCTTCAAGGTGACCTCCAGTGTTTCTCACAATAGTTATTCACCCTTGTGAACTTAGGTCCATTTAATATCCTCTTGACTTATATATTATCTATTTTGACCTAAACTTGTACCCAAGAACTTGGTAGCATAAAACAACACACTTATTTTGTTTAGTTATTTTTATATGGTGCTGAGGATCAAACTCAGCTCCTCACATGTGCCAGGCAAGCCCTCTACAGCTGAGCCACAACTCCAACCCACACTTTCTTTTATAATCTTAGAGTTTCTGTGGGTCACGAACATGGGCACAAGTCTGTTGACCCCTGCTTCAGGATCTACTTTAGATCTTTAATCTAATTGTGGATCAGATCTATGCCTCATTTAAAGGCTTAATTGGTGGAGCCAATTCTAAGTTCATTCATGTGATGACTGGCAGTGCTCAGTACCTCCAGGGTTGTTGGACTGAAGGTATCATTTCCTATCCGGTGGTCCCTTTTACTTCCTTGCCAGTTAGACCTCACATCTTGTAGCAAAAGGTGTTTTTATATTTTGAAGTTACACCAAGTAGGAGTCCAGATTCACAGACTGAATAGGTTAGAATCACACATGCTTGCTGTGTGAAAATTGCTTGCTTAATTTCTTTATGTCTCAATTATTTTTCTGAAAATAGCTATAAGTACATGCCTCAAAGAAGCTGCTATAAGGATTTATTGTGTAAGTAAAAAGAAAGTGTTAATATCAGTGACTATGACTTAGTAGATAATGTGTAGGTGTTAACCAGTAGTACAATTATTCGGTAAAGGAAGAGAAAACCACCGACACAATCCATTTATATTTAAACAATAATATTTTGTTTGTTGCAAAAATACCAAAGATTATGTACATAAGTGCATGAGATATTACAAAATTTAAAATAATAAAGAACAATCAATATTTTTCCTTCTACTCATCTTTCTTTAAATTGGCAAATAATTAATTTAACCATCTAAAACATAGAAATACATTATTTAAGTAATATTTCTATTATTAGTTATTCAAAAAAGGCAAAAATAGTCACATTTACAGTAGATTTATATAAATTTGTTATTGGATAAGTCATGGAAACTTTCTGTTATAGGTTCACAACAGAAAACTCTTGGGGATGAGAAGAATCTAAACAAAACAAAGTGCAATTGTAATGCATTAGGAAGACAGTCAACCTCATATATTATATCATAAACAAGTGAACTATCTCCAGGATGTATTATTATATTACACTAATAGCAGCAATTTCCTAATAATATACAAATTAAGTTTTTATGTAGAGTCATAATTTTTTTAGATAATGAAGGTATACATACAAACTGACTCTGCTTTAGTGATTCACAAAATTAAAAAGCCAGTTATTGACTTTTACTCAGAAGTAGCCTGTTATGTAATTACTGATAAGTTATAACACCCAAATATTATGCCATGTACCTAAAATAACTATTCTTAAATTCAACTATGGAACAAGTAACTTAAACAAACCCACAATTTATTATATGTCACTTTTATTTTATTTATTTTTTTATTGGTTGTTCACAACATTACAAAGCTCTTGACATATCATATTTCATACATTAGATTGAAGTGGGTTATGAACTCCCAATTTTACCCCAAATGCAGATTGCAGAATCACGTCGGTTACACATCCACAATTTTACATTATATGTCACTTTTAAAGTTTATTATAACACATATTTTTTAGCTTAAAAATAGATAATGAATATTTACTAAACATCTATTTTCTAATATTAAAGTAGAAAAAAAAGCCTTTTGATGCCCCTGCTTTTGTTTAGATAGTTATTAGCCAGGCTGTATATTGTCAAGAAAAAAATAGAAATATTTCAGGAAAAAGCAATCTATCATCAATGTCTATGCTGTGAGTTTGAATTTTCTGATCTTTTTGAAGTATATCAAAAGCATGTAGGCAGTTTCTCTAAATTATAGAATTTATACTAGGTCAGCTAACAATTGAATCAAACTTAATATGTGGCTAAATTTGGTGTGCTGGTATTTGTTGAAGACTTTTCCATCTTTTCTTACGTTCAACTCATCTATCCTTAATAGCAGAATAATATAGGCTTTGTAATGAATTTGGAATTTTTTCCTCCAATTTTTGAGAAAAGGTTGAGAAGGATTGATATTCATTCTTTAAATGTTTAATAGAATTCAGCAATAAAGCCCTCTGGTCCTGAATTTTTCTTTTGTGAAACACTTTTATTCATTATCCAACCTTCTTATTTATTATTGTTCTGATAACATTTCCTTTTTCTTCTTTATTCAGTTTTGGTTGATTGCATTTTTGTAGGAACTTATCCACTTCTTATAGATTACTTAATAACCTGATTGCATTTCTATGATATTGATTGTAATGTGTTCTCTTTCATTTCTGATATTATTTGAATCTTCTAATAATTTATTCTTAGTAAGACTAGCTAATTATTTTTAAATCATATCTTTTGAAAAAATCTGAACCTTGTGATTTCTTTGATCTCTTTTTGTTTTGTTAGTCTGTATTTCATTTATTTTTGTTCTGATCTTTATTACTGGATTTCTTCTACTAACTTTGGGCTAATTTCTACTTCCTTTTGTTGAAACATTAGGCTGAATACTTGAGAGCTTCATTTTTGATGTAGGCATTCATTACTCTGCAATTCCCTCCTAGGATTACTTTTGTTTTATTTCGTATGTATTGGTAGGTTGTGTTTCCATTTTGCTTCCTTCAATTTTTTTTTTTAAGTGGGGTACATGAGATTGAAATCAAGGGCACTTAGCCACTGAGCCGCATCCCCAGCCCTATTTTGTATTTTATTTAGAGACAGGGTCTCACTGAATTTCTTAGTGCCTCGCTTTTGCTGAGGCTGGATTTGAATTCGTGATCCTCCTGCCTCAGCCTCCCAAGCCACTAGTATTACAGGTGTGCACCACTGCATCTGGCCTCTTCAAATATTTTTAATTTCTCTTTTTATTACTCATTTAATCCATCTATTATTGAGAAGTACATTCTAAAACTTTAACATATTTATGATTATCTAAAATTCCTATTTTTTATTTCTAGTTTCAGATTTTCATTATAGTTAAAAAACACAAGGCACGATTTCAATTTTCTTAAAATTTTAAGACTTGTTTGTGACTTAACATACAATTTATCCTAGTGACCATACTGTGTTCACTTAAGAATGCGTATCTCACTCCTTTATTGTTATAAAATTTCCTTGTTTGTATGTGGGAGGAAGCATTTTATTGCTTTTGATTTAAAGTCTATGTTGTCAAATCTAAGTATAACTGTCCCTGCACTCTTTTGGATTCCATTTCCATGATATATATTTTTATCATCCCTCCAATTTAATCTATGTATATTCCTAAAGAGGAAATAGAATTCTTGTGTGCAGCTTGTAGTGGGTCTTGTTTTTCTATCCATTCTGTCACTCTGTGTCTTTTAGTGGGAAAATTAAATATATTCACATTAAAGATAATTATTGACAAGGTATTACTTACTATTCACTTTTTGTTTATTGTGTTTTATGACCTTCCTTACAAAAAATATATAAATATATGTGTATATATATATATATATACACACACACACGCACATGCAAGCAAGAAATTATACTAGTGCCAGAATATTTTGAATCTTTTAATTCTAACCCTAAACATCTGTCATACAAAGTGTACTTGAATAAAAATGGTAATATATAACACAAGTAGTCCTATGTAAATCTAAATGGCTGATTTGTCATCTGATATGGAAATCAGGAGAAAATTGGATGATGTTTATTTATTTATTTATTTTCAGAAAATACCAACTGAAAACCCAGATTCCTGTCTGTAGAAGATCTTTCCATCAAAAATGAGGTATAAGGCTAAAGTTATGGCTCAGTGGGCTGAAGTCGTGGTTCAGTGATAAAGCACTTGCATGACATGCATGAGGCCCTGGGTTTAATCCTCAGCACCACATACAAATAAATAAAAATACATTGACAACTAAATAAAACATGTTTTAAAACAATGAAATATATTAAAATATCCTCAAATAAACAAAAACTGAAAAAAAATTGTTGCCATTAGACCTAATGTACAAGAAATAAAGAAGGAAATGCTTTAGGTTGAAATCAAAGGACACTTCTATAACTCAAAGCCATAAAAAATAAAGATCTCTAATAAAGTTAAATACATGGATATAAGTATAATCCAATATTATCATATTTTTAATTTCTAACCTTTCTATATTTCCTGGAAGATTTAAAATACTGAGACATAAATAATTATGTTATTTTTCACACAAAAGATCAAATTGTAATATGTGATAAAACAACATAAAAATGAGTGGAATATGAAACTGTAGGGGAGAGTTTTATATGCCATTGAAGTATTGTTGGTATCAATTAAAAACAAATTCTTTTAAGTTTAGAATGTTAAAAATGCCTCCATAGTAACATAAAAGTATCTAAAAGCTATAGACAAAAGAAAGTGAGGAGAAAAACAAAATAGTTCATACTAAAACATCAGTTAAACACAATAAATCAGTATAGAGAATGAGAAATAAAAAGTCCAAAGACATAAAGCCAATGACAAAATGCCAGTATACTCAAGTATCCCTTTATTAGTCATTACTTGAAATGCAAATGGATCAAATCTCCAATCATATGAGGTGGCAATAATGGACACTAGAAACATGATTCAAGCTGTGTAGTTTCTAAAAACTCAGTTTAGATTAAAAGTTACAAATCAGTTGAAAGAATAAAAAAATATCATGTGCAGATAGTAAACCAAAGAGAGTATGAGTGGCTATATTAATATTAGACAAAATAAGAGACCATTTAAAGAGAAAAAAAGAGATCATTGTATACTGATAAGATGGCCAACTTATCAAGAAGACACAACAACTATGAACAGACATGTACTCTCATCTATAGCTGGTGGGAATATAAAATGATGTCAAGCTGGTGGGGAACAAATTTCTTTTTTTTTTAGTTTTATTGATTTTATTTTTTTAATGCATGACAGCAGAATACATTACAATTTTTTTGTCACATATATAGAGTACAATTTTTCATATCTGTTTATATGTAAAGTATGTTGACACCCAATTCAAGTCTTACATGTTTTTGGGTAATGATATCTATCACATTTCACCATCCTTGCTAATCCCCTGCCCCTTCCTTTTCCCTCCCACCCCTCTGCCCTATATAGAATTCATCTAATCCTCCCATCTCCCCCTCCCTACCCCACTATGAGTCAGCCTCCTTATATCAGAGAAAACATTCAGTTTTTGTTTTGGGGGGATAGGCTAACTTAGCTTAGCATTATTTTCTCCAACGCCATCCATTTATCTGCAAATGCCATGATTTTATTCTCTTTTATTGCTGAGTAATATTCCATTGTGTATATATGCCATATTTTTTTTATCCATTCATCCACTGAAGGGCATTTACATTGGTTCCACAGTTTAGCTATTGTGAATTGTGCTGCTATAAACATTGATGAGGCTGTGTCCCTGCAGTATGCTTTTTTTTTAAAAGTCCTTTGGGTATAGACAGAGGAGAGGGATAGCTGGGTCAAATTGTGATTCAATTCCCATATTTCCAAGGAATCTCCATACTGCTTTCCATATTGGCTGTACCAATTTGCAGTCCCACCAGCAATGTATGAGAGTACCTTTTTCCCCACATTCTCGCCAATACTTATTGTTGTTTGTATGCATAATAACTGCCATTCTCACTGGAGTGAGATGATATTTTAGAGTAGTTTTGATTTGCATTTCTCTAATTGCTAGAGATGATGAGCATTTTTTTCATATATTTGTTGATTGATTGTATATCCTCTTCTGAGAACAAATTGCTTTTCTAAAGTTATACAATTACCATATGTTTTAGAAATTTCACTCCTGGGTGTATATGAAACTGAATTTAAAACAGGGAGTAAAACAGACTTGTATGCCAATGTTTATTATAGTACATTTTACATACATGAGCCTAAAATGTGGAAACAATTCAAATGTCCAACTACAAGTGAATAGATGAACAAAATGTGGTTTAGTAGTTCTCCTCCCTATCCATGGAGGATATGTTGAAATACCACCCAGTAGATGCCTGAGAGTGCATATAATACTAAATCTGTATACACTTTTTTATACATTCTTATGATAAAGCTTTATATATACAGTAGTCTACCAGGTTAAAAAAAAGTTTTATATACAAATCAAGCACTTAAGCAATTAACGGCAATAATAATACAAAAAATATAAAAATACACTGTAATAAGAATTTTGTGAATATCTTGGTCTCTGTCAAAATATGGTATTGTACTTTCACCTCTACCCTTAGAGAAAGCACTTTATAACTTCTCCTTGGTATACCTGAATTGCTAGAATCATTAGTCTTGTATGTTGCATGCTGTGGCTATTCTTTTCTTTTCTTTTGCTTTATTTTTTATTTAATTTTTAAAAATTGAATTTGGTATATAAGACAGTAGAATACACTACAATTTATATTACACATATACAGCACAATTTTTCATATCTCAGGTTGGACACAAAGTACAGTCACACCTTTTGTGTCTTCATACATTTACTTAGGGTAAGGATGTCCATCTCATTTAAGAACTTTGATACTTTAACAGGCAATCTGGTAACAGAGACAGCTATTAAATGAACAATGGACAGGTAGTGTATACACCATGCATACGCTGAAAAGAGGGATGAATTATGTTCTGAGATGAACAAATGAGGCTGGCATGAGATTCCATCACACTACTCAAATAAATGCACAATTTAAAACATTTGAATTCTTTACTTCTTGAATTTTCCATTTACTATTTTTTGCTGGGGTTAATGGCAGGTAAATAAACCATGAAAAACAAAACTACAGATAAGGGAAGATAATACAAAATATTATTCAGTAATTAAAAGGAGTTAAGTTCAAACATATGATGAACAATTCAAAACATTATGCTGAGTATAATAATCCAGACATAAAAGGCCAAATCTTGTAGAAGTTCATTTATATGAAATATGCAGAATAGGTCAATTCTTAGAGACAGAAAGTAGATTAGAGATTATCAGGGGTTTTGGTACAGGAAGAATGTGGATTTATTACCTAATAAGAGTTTCTGTTTGAAGTAGTAAAAAGTTTTGAAGATAGTGAGATAGTTTCACAACATTGTGAATGAAACAACATTGAATTGTGTACTTAAGGTTAAAATGCAAATTTTTGTTACATATATCTATAATAAGAAAATTAACAAACATCTCCTTTAGCCTCAGGCTTATTTTCTAGGATATCAGCAATGCCTGAAGCAAGTAAAAGCCTTTCCAAATAGCCTTGAGAAATCTCAGACAGGTCCTTGATTGACCTCAGTTGGGTAATGTGTTCAATCCTGAATCAATCACATTGATCCTGGAACCTAGTTATTCTGACAGGACAGGAATATCTAAAAACCACATCTGTAGCCAGATTTTACTGCCTGCAAAACTTTATCATATATCTAAAATTATATGTAAAACAACATTTTAGAAAAACCAAATTTTAAGAAATATTGACAATTGTTACTTTTAAAATCATTTATGGTGTTAATAGACAATATTTATTTTTTACTAATTAATCTTAAGTACAATGAAACTTCTAAATATTACATTATATTTAGTGGCTGTCTCAATCTCTTGGAAGAAATTTCAGAAGATAGAGATGGTTAAATCTTAATTAATCATTTTTGTGGTGATTATTAAACTTTAGAAGTTGGTGGTATTGTTTACCTACAAAAATAAGAATTTGTCTTTCTTGTTTTTTAATGGTTCCTGCTTTATGGTGCTATCCTTCAGAGACATGCATGCTTCTCAGGGAAATGCATTTTCTCTCATCACTCATATTTAAGAAAACTCAGCCTCAGCAGGAGAACACTGGTTTTCTTGGAAAATGTCTTGCTATAAATTTCATTAAATCTCAAACACTAATTATTAAGTGGGTGAAAAGAGCTATCCCTTTTAGAATTCAATTGCAATAGTTAGAGCACAATAAGGAAAGCTATTTGCATCGTTTTTAGGGTAAATCCTTTTTTACAAAATGACCTTACAGATAATGTATTTCAGCAACATTAGGAGTCCTTGAAAGATTCAGATTTTAGGTTAAGTTGAAAAGGTAGATATAATTGCAGGTAGAAATGATCTTAACAACCTCCAAATCATGCATGTTATAATATATTGGAGTATTATGGTCAAGTTAAAGTAAGATTGCTGAAATGTATGACACAATCAAGAAAAGAATATTCCCCTATACAGAAAGCTGTAATGAATGGCAAAACACGTTAGAATATCTGATGTGAAACTAAATTTACAAAAAGGTAAATTACTAAGTTGGCAGACAGAAAATTCTGCTCAAGGTGTTCACATATTATAAATACTACTGTCAGATGAATGCAAATGTAACTTTCAAGAGTTTATTTGAAAATTATGTGACAACTTTTAGAGGAAAACAAGATTTCTCTGACACCAGAGCAACACAATTTACTATTGGCATATTCTAAGAGGAGTAGTTTTAATTAGTTTCGTCTTCTCTCTGGAGGATTTGGACCTAAAATATTTTCACTAATGAAATTCAACTAGTGAATTAAACTTATAAAATGACTGCTTTTTAAACCAAGTCTTTTTTAAGTTCTCCACTTTCTGGTCAGTTTTCCCTAAAAGAACTCTAGGAAAATATACAGCTCAAAAATTGATAATAGGGACTTTTTGGTATCATATAGATAGTTACATGAAGTTAGGATGATTGAGGCTGGTAATCACAAAGACCTTGCAGCTAGAATTATAAGCAATATTTTCGAATCAACACCCTGTTTATTTATATCTGAAGTTTTCACACTTATCTAGTTAGCACAATAAAGAGTACCCTTGTGGCATGAAAATTTGAATGCAACTTTAAACTACTTAAATTACTCTCCTGAAGTCGTTGATATGGTAGGTATGTCTTCATTCATTATCCATATATGCCTTATCAGAAGGATGTGGTTAAAAGGCAAATACTTCCATTCTAGGAGAAACTGAGACATAAAGACAGTTTAATTATGGGTCCCCAGGTTAGGAACAGCCCATGGTGTTTTACTCCTATTTCTTCCTCATTCGGCCTGAATGTCTTCCAAGATTTCATTAGTCAACTATGGCAATTTCAACAGCATGAGGAACAGAACAACATTGTCTAAACCATTGCTGGAGAAAAAATAAAGTTAGCAACCACAAACCCAATGCATATTCCATGATTTCATACTACTTTGTTAATGGTTTCACAGTCTTTGACTAAAATTGGCTAAAATTTTCCCATCCTGAAAAACAAAACAAACAAGGCTAAAAAGTTCCTTCAACATTAAATAATATTATATTTTCCCAGTTCTTTATTTAAAATATACTAATTGAAGAATGTGGGTCTAGAGATTCATTTGAGATACTGAGTAAAACTTACAGGAACTTCTTAAATCTTCTGCTTCTATCTCAATCATTCCTTGTTCACTCAACTTCCTTTTCACTTAAACATGATTGACAGCTCAGTTGTAGCCGAAATTCACAGAGAGATGTCATATAATTTTAGTCAATGCATATTTTATCTTTAATTTTAAACATTTTAAGTAAATCATACATACACAAAAAGGACTATTAAAATAATGTATAAACAGTTAAAAACTGTCCAGCTATAACTTTGGTTTAGAATAAATAGTCTCAAGATTTTAGAAGACTCCTATATAAATTATATATTCTTTGCTGCTCCTTAGATATAACAAATTGACTTATCTGATTAAGTTTCCTTGCTCTTTTTTTTTTCCTTTTGTGTGTATTCATGCATCCTTTATATAGAAGTTTAATTTTTCCTAACTTTCAAATGTATAGAAATGCACTCATATTGGATATATGAGTTTGTGAAGTACCACTAAGGTGATGCCTAATGCTGTGGTTCATTTATTCTCATTAATCTAATAATCCACTGTGTAAACATATGCATTATTTTTTATATATGGAAGAATGACTACACTATTTGAAAAGTCCAATTCAAAATGAAAATATGAAGCCTTTATTTCAAAAAATATTAAAAATTTTAAGATGTAGACCAAGTGTAGGACATGTGTAAGGGAGCTCCCTTTAAGCCTATACAGGTTATATGTCCATAAAGTCAACCTTGATTTTATCATTGATTTACATGTAAATTTTTTTTATGGTTTTGTGTTGTTAAATTTCAACATAGCTGATGCAGGCATCCTGCTGAATTTCTCCTGGAGCTCATGTTCAAGATGTTTTTCTAGGACAGGTACATGTGAGTCTGTGTGTCAAAGGATAAGCGCTTCTTAAAATTCAGTAACTAATGGAAGACTGTTTATCAAAGTGCCTAATAGAAGTTACATTTGGAACACAGTAGAGATTTCCCTCTTTCACAGACTTAACCAGTTTATTTTATGCTTAATGATTTGTGACAGTATCGCACCCTTTCATTTGTTTGTTAAATTAAACAAACAAACAAACAAAAAACCTTTTATATCATTGCATGTTGTGATGCTAATTGGAATTCCTTGACTCTATCAATGTGAGGAAAACTGACATCTTTGCAACATGTTTTCTTGTCATTAAATAATGTATATACTTCCATCTTTAATCTTTTAAATATCTAATAATTATATTTTGTAATTTTTTGTATAGAATTCTTATAGACTTTTTATTAAACTTTCCCATAGTACTTGATAGTTTTCATTTAAAACTTTAAATAATTTATTTATTTTCAGTGTAATATTACCTGAATAAATGTCTGCTAAATAGTAAGTGAAAGTAACCCTTTCTCTTTTTTTTGTGGCTAAGAATCAGTTTTTCAAGAACAATTCCTCTTTGCTGTCTCTATATCCTAAATATTCCGTCTTATGAATATATGATCTAATAAACATACATTTTATTTTCTAATCTATTAAAATTTATTCTGCGAAAAGACCACCTAATACTGAAGCCACCTAATTCTGGCTTTTAAATTTGGTTCCTCTTTGACATGTCTTCATATTTCACAGTTTCCTTTTTAAAATTCTTTTCCCTTTTGACAAGTGTGCAGATATCTGATCTGCTTCTTTTCTTTTCAACATCACTCCAGAAATTCATTTCACTGATTAAAGCATTCTCCTAAGTTTTTACCTTGATGTTTTGATTTTCTTAAGTAATTAACCTCACTATATCTCTAGCCTTAAATATCATTCCTAATCAATAATTCTCAGTCTAGTCCTGAAAATGTCATTTTTCTTTTTAACCTAGTAATCAGTTTCTACTTATCGTAACTATACTTCTTTCTACACAAATTGTGATATACTTCAATGATGACTGAAATTCCATAAGTTTTTTACATCCCTCATGTGGTAATGGTAAAGGTTTTGTTGAAAGTGTGATTGTTAAAGCACTCTACTGTTTTAAACAGCTCTTTATGTGGTCCTAGCACGCAGCTAGTCTGTACTATTTTCATGATTTTGTTAGTGAAACTCTGCTATCTTATAAAAAATAAGTGAAAGACTTATGGATTTTTTTTCACTGCCTTTATTATGATGCATTTTTTAAACAAATGTACATACTTTATGAAATAGAAAATAATTTCCTCAAATAATTCCAAATTAGTCTGTGTTCTCAAATATCATATAACTTTCCTAGTCTTCTGTATTCTGCTGTGAGGTTGGTCCTTTTTGTCTTCAGCATTTAGCTATCTTATAAATTTTCCCATTAGTTATACTGTAATATTAACTATGAATAGACCTTATGAATTCAGGATCTGAAAGCCCAGCAAAAATTTAATGATAGGCAATAACAAGTTTTAAAGTGTTTGCATTGAATAGTGAAAACAGGAAATATTTACAGGAAAGTTTATTATATCCCAGGGAACATTTGAGGCACTTTTCATGTGTTAATTCATTAAATATTCACACAGATTGTGATGATTTCCTAACTATAGAAAGGGAAAATGAAGGCAAAAAAAGCTAAGTAACCTATCCAAGATTACTCAAACAGGTTGAGTCATTTGGCTCTACTCTGAAGCTTTGGAAGCTTCAAAGTTTGTGAATTTAAATGAACTTCTTTGTGGCTTTGTTTCCCACATAAAGAAAGGTAGATGACAGAAGGCTGTAGCTTCATTGAGTCCAAGCAAACAGTGAAAAAGAAACATTTTCCAGACAGCTGTGAAACTAGGTTCCCTCAGTGTATGATTCCCTAAAGAACCTCCCCAATTCTGATTGAAGTTTTTGAATACAAAAATTCCAAGTTATGAATCTCTATATAACACTCAACTTCTTTGTCTGTTTTTAAAACATCTCTTTAATATTTATGTCCCATATGTTTTCCCTCTTCTATTCCAAATCTGTCATATTTCTTTTTATTATCATTCAACAATGTTCTGATTAGGAATAGGGGAATCATAGGTGATTTGAATTGGTCTAATAACTGTATGCTTTCGTTGTTGTTGTTGGTAAGCAAAAGATCAGGGATTATAACAGTGAGCTGAAATTTGTAACCTAAATTTAACACCATTTGTTAATTATTTAGAGAAGGTAAATAGAACATAATTATGAAGATTAATAAATTATCTCTGATTATACAAATAATAGAGAAGATGAATGCAGAAAGATGGTACTTCATAAGCCCAGAAAATGTAAAGCAAAGCAAATAACAAGGAATACTCCAAATTTGGAAAAAGTAAAATACAAATTATAATAAGTATTGATGTAAATGTGTCCTTTTCATTATGACTTAAATGAAACTCATGGTATGCTGCAGTAGTATTGCTTACAATAATTTCAACTTCTTCCAGTGAGAAAATTATACTTCTCTAGATTGGCCTAAAATAGTTCCTGCCATTTGCTTTATTATTGAAATATAAGCAAAAGTGATCATTTGAAGCAGAAGGTTAGGAGGCATCGCATTCTTAGATATGGATTCTTAGATATGGTTTCTTTTCTTTTTTCCAATTAAAAGTGTAAAGCTCTTGGTGGTAAGGGGAACTATACAGCATTTTATCTAAATGTGATATGGACAAAATTTTACTAGTCCACTATGAACATGTAACCATGATTAAAAGAAAAGAAAAGAAAACCCTCTGTTGCTATAAGCCATTATATTCTTGCATTTTTTTTCTTTTTACTGGCACATGATTTATCTTATCTAAAATTACAGAATGCTGCCTAGAAGTTTTTTATCCAGATTAAGACAATGCCATAAATAATTTTCCTTAGAGAATTTTAAGCATCATATTTAACCTGCTTTGTTCTACTCACATTTTTCAGGCATAATGCACCCAGCATCCCTGTTGTTGGAATAATGGCTAAACAGAAAAAAAAGTCAAAATGTTTCCTTATGAAACTTGTGTTTGTCCAAAGCAAATATTTAAATCTTATGAAATTTTATGAAGTGGTAAGTATTGCAGAGAGAATTAAAATGAGAAGAGTTGATGGAGAGTTTGGTGGTAAGGAGATGGGAGGATGAGTTTAGGTGACAACTTGCTGAATTAGGGAAGCCAGATAGACAGTAAAACACTATTATTATCAGTGGTTCATTAGGCACTGAGCCCATCCATCTTTTGTTTGAAGCGAAATGAGGGTGGTTTGACTTTTGATTAGAATAATTGGACTGCTCCAGGTGTGTCCCTGAGGTTGCTTCCTGAGAAGATTGATATGTAAATTTATGGAGCAGGTGGAGAAAAGCTGCCCTCAAAGAGAAGGTACCTTCCAATAGCCTGGAGTTGTGGATGGAACTAAAAGGTACAGGAAAAGTGAATGTTCCCTCTCTCTCTCCCAGAGTTGGGACAGGCTTCTCCTTCTCTTGTATGTCATAACTCATCTTCCCCAGACTTTGGACTGTGGAACTCATATCAGTGCCCTAGACCAGGCTCTAGAACTTTTGGTCTCAGCTGAGTTTTACACCAGCTTTTTTGGGTTCTGAGGCCTTTAGATTTGGGTTCAGCCATGTTACTGGTTTTCCAAGTTACTAGTCTGCAAATGGCCTGTAGATAGGACTTCTCAGCCTCCCTCATCAAGTGAGCTGACTCACCAAATAAATCCATTTCATATACTTCTTTATGCATTCTACTTCAACAAAACTGGAGGGGTTTAAACTTAAAGTTCTCAGGGAAGATTCATTGAGAAGTTAATATTCTGGTAAAAGCTTAAATGAAGCAAGACTTGAGGGAATGGTGGAGAATCTAGACAGCGAGCACAGTCAGATATTGAGCCAAAAATATAATTACAGCAAGAAAAATAATGAAGGCTGATCAGAGTAAGTGAGAGAGACAAAGTAGGAGATAGAGGCAGAGGGCAATGTAATTAAAATCATGTGAGGATTTCTGATTTTGGCTTTTATATTGAGAGAAACTAGCAGCCCTTGGTGAGTTTAAATAGAAGTTCAATGGTAGCATATATTGGCTTGTTGTATTGTCAATGTCCTGAGGAAATAAAATTGGGTTAACCTATTGGACAACTTCAGCAGTAGTTCAGGAAGGAGACAATGTTGACTTCAACAGTGATCTTTGGTTGAATTCTGGATATAATTTGAAGACAGAAACAATTAGATGTGATTCCTGGACTAAGAAGAATATGTTATTAAAACGAGTTGTCAAAAATAACTCTTCTCTTTACCTAAATATTATTAACTTAGAAAAACTTAGAGGAGTTGAGGATTAGAAAGGAGGATGAAAATGAGGGATCCATGAATTAATGGATACATTGAATTTAAGGTGTCTACTATATATATAGAGAGAGATTTGATGAGAATTGACCAGGTTGCAGATAAAAATTTAGAAAATATACAGATTGCTTCTAAAGCCATGAGAGAGGTGGGATTTTCTAAGGAAAAGATAACTGATTTATGCCATACTATCTACTGTAGGAAATAAATAATGAAAGTTAAGAGGAGAATGAATAATAATTTTGGAAATCATAGTTAAGGCAGAAATGTTTATTAGCATAAGATTATAAATAAGCCGATTTATTTGAGCCATTATCTAAAAGAAATTATACCTTGAAAGTCAACTAAAATAGATATCTTCTTTATTCTTAACAATATTGTATTATTATAATATTTTATAGGAAAAAAATGAACATAAGTGATCTCTTTCTTGATTTGCATGATTTAACACCCTAATAAATAGAATGATGAAAATATTTTAAAACTTCCTATGTAGAGATAAGTTTATTCATTAAAAATAAATAACAAACATTAGTAAAAATAAGGAAAATATTATGATATCATTTGAAATGAGAAAACAATTTTCATCATATTGAATTTTTAAAAATTATTTCATTAGTCTGTTTCTGGATAAAGTGTTTATTAATGACAATATTGCTTAATTCCAAGTCAAATTAAGAATTTAGCAAATGAGAAAACACTGGAGAACAACAGAAAAATTGAAGAACATATCAATTGACTCTAGATCATATTTTTTTAAATAGAGGAGGTTCAAAACACAAACTGGCAACAAGATAATCTATGCAACATAGAGGAAAACTGAAAAATATGTATTCTTTTTCACCATCCACAAAAAAATGCGTCTTTTTTGCTTCCAAAAATGAAGCAAAACCAAAAATATCAAGGTACAGACAGAAATAAACAGCTCTGACAGCTGACAGCCTCTAACTGGCCTGGCACTAACTGTCAGGCATTTTGCTTTGCATAAAAATAATTTCACAAATCCCCAATATCAGATGAAGTCTCTAATCCTGATGGAAAAACAAAAATAAACAAAATAACTTTATAAACACACCTGAGTACAGATGAAAAATACTTCAAAAATAAAAAGACTAAATAGACCCCCTTCCATTCTACCATGTAGTGATTGTTATTTCTTTACAAGTTACAATTTTAGCCTTGTTTTCTTTTTATCTTTCTAGAAAACAATGTAAATATACTGATCAATATTACCCTAAAGTTCATTTCCATTTGACTGAAGTTTAGATAGGTTATATTTGTCATTATTGACCCCTAACTTCCTTTTCTCAGAACATTGACTTTAGAGAACTTTCTATTATAAATTATTCTCTGCTAACTATTATTCACCATCGTCCTGGAGACTCTACTTGAAAAAAACAGACGATAAATACACATATCAGAATTGAGACTGTCTTTATTCACAGGTGGCTTGACAGGATTTGCAGAAAATATCAAATCAAGGAATCCATTAAAAAAAACTTTTAGATTAAACACATTTAAAATTTGTAAGATCAAAATTTGTGTGTGTGTGTGTGTGTGTGTATAAGCTATATTTCTACAAGCTAGTAACAAGGAACCTAAAAAAGAAATGGATTACGATGATTATATTCACAATAACTTAAAGAAAAGCAGAGATTAACAAAAATATTCTAAGTCTTATAATCAGGAATACAAAATATTGCTGAAAGAAAATATAGAACATTCCAATGGAGAAATATTCCATGTTCATGGATTAAAAGATCCAGTATTTTTTAAATGCCAATTCTCAAATTTATCTATTCACGTTTTACCCTTCCTCCTTAAAATAGATCAGGTTCCTTTTGAAATTTTCCAACCTGATGCTCATACTTAAGTTGCAACCTAAAGTACCAGAGCAACAAAAACAATTTCTCAATAGAACAATGTTCAGAATCTTGAACAAAACTAGAATAATTAAGACATTGTATAATAGTCACATGACAATAGACATATAAACCAATAAATAAGAATTCAAAGGCCAGAAGTAAACCTTCAGTTTATTTTATTTTATTTTACTTTTTGTGGTACTAGGAATGAAACCAGGGGCTTTTTACCACTCAGCAACATTCTACATCTTTTTTTGTTTTTGAATGTCAGGTTATCACAATTTCAAAGAGGTTATCACTAAGTTACTGAGGTTTTGCTATACTGTTGAGACTGCCCTTAAACTTGTGATCCTCAGCCTTACCCTCCTGAGTTGCAGGGATTACAGGCATGTAGCTGCACCAGCCCTGTGCCAGGCTACTTTATTGGTCTTCAATAAATATATCAAAACTACAAAGAGAGGAAAATAGTATTTTCAGCAAATTGTGCTTAGAATAGCAGAATTAAAAGGAAGTGAAAAAAATGACTATTACATCATGTCATACACAAACAATAGAACACAGACCTAAACTACAGGAGAAAAATTCTGTGTCCTTAGATTAAACTAAAGGATTTTACATATGACATTCAAAACATGTTCCATAAAGCAAAACTATTGATGAACTTATTTAAATTTATCAAAATAGATTGCTTCTAAATATTCCATTGAAATATATTTTTAAAGGTCATACTGGGAAAAATATTTACAAATTATGTATCTGATAAAGATTTTTATCAGAATATATAAAGAAATCTTTAACACAGTAACATGAAAGTAAACAACTTTATTTAAAAATGAGAACAAAGTTAAATAGACATTTTATGAATATAAATAGCTCATGAACACATTAAAAGATCTTCTATAACATTGTTCATTAGGGAGATACAAATTAAATTCCAAAGAGATACCACATGTACCCATTGGAATGACTGTAATTAGACAGAAAATAATGTGCTTTTGTAAGGATGTAGAGAAACTAGGGCCATCACAGATTGCTGTGAAAATGTAAAATTGTGAAGCCATTTTGGAAAACAGCTTGGCATTTCTTAACAAGTTTTATATAAACTTATTATTTGATAAAAACAGTTCCACTACTGGAAATTTACCCAAGAATAATAAAAAATATTCATACAAGTAATTTATACTAGTATTATTAACTATATCCCAAAAGTGGAAAAAATACAGATGTCCATTAGATGATGAATAAATGAATAAACAAAATGCAGTATATTCTATATAATGAAATACTATGCAGAGATAAAAAGCAGCAAATAACTTTGCTGCAATATACGTGACTTATGAATTTCAAAATAATGTAAAAAGAAGTGAAGGAAGTCAGATGCTAAAATCCCTATATTTTTTTTAAATTTCAAATATTGAAAATTCAGAAAAAGCAAATATACAAAGAACAAAAGATGATTAATGGTAGTGTTGGACTGAGGGTTGTTGTCAGTGTACATTAACTAAAAGTGATCATCATGAAAGCTTTGGGGTAAGCAAATGTTCTAACATTGGTTTGTGGTGATGGCTGAAATTGTATATAAATTGAATAAAACTAGGGAAAGATCATAGGGGAAGAGCAATTTCCTTTAAGAAAGTGCCTCTGTGAGGAGATAATACAACTAGGAAGTGGAGAATGGATCCAGGTTACATGAGTGGATGGAGGCAAAGATTCAGGGTGTCAAGAGCCAGGGTGGGGGGTCTGGGTAGGGTTAGGAGGGCCACAAGTCCTCCGCCTTTTCACAGGCATAGATTTGTCAAGTTGAGGGATCCTGCTCTCAAGACTGGAACCAGAACATAGAAATTAGATAATCTCAATCTACTCAGC